GGGGGGGACAGGTGTGACACAGACACCCCCCCCCACCCATTCCAGGTGTGACACAGGTGTGTCCCAGGTGTGACACAGGTGCGACACAGGTGTGACACAGCTGCACCAGGTGTGCCCCAGGTGTGACACAGGTACACCAGGTGTGCCACAGGTGTGCCACAGGTGTGCCACAGGTACACCAGGTGTGCCACAGGTGTGCCCCAGGTACACCAGGTGTGCCTCAGGTGTGCCCCAGGTGTGCCCCAGGTACACCAGGTGTGCCCCAGGTGTGACACAGGTACACCAGGTGTGCCCCAGGTGTGTCCCAGGTGTGCCCCAGGTACACCAGGTGTGTCCCAGGTGTGACACAGGTACACCAGGTGTGCCCCAGGTGTGCCCCAGGTGTGACACAGGTACACCAGGTGTGCCCCAGGTGTGACACAGGTACACCAGGTGTGCCCCAGGTGTGCCCCAGGTACACCAGGTGTGCCCCAGGTGCCGAGGCTCACCCAGCGGGCACAGGAAGCGCACGTGGTAGTTGGCGCAGGCCTTGCCCGGGGGCTGCTCGCGGTGCAGGCAGCGGAAGCCGCGCTTGGGGCTGGCGTGGACCACCTGGCCCAGGGCCGCGGGCAGGTGCCACTCGGTGGAGCGCGCCTGGATGGCCACCGGCCGCGGGCACACGCGGTCACCGTAGTAGAAGCGGATGGCGGCCAGGCTCTCGTGGTCACCGTCCCCACCGGGGTGGTCGATGTTGAACCACGACGTCCACTCGGCGCCTTTACCTGGGAGGGAGGCGGGGGAGTGACCCGGGGGTGACCCGGGGGTGACCCGGGGGTGACGCGGGGGTGACCCGGGAGAGACCCGGGAGAGACCCGGGAGAGACCCACTGGTGGGGACACGGGTGGGGACAGGAGTGGGGAGTGACCCCGGAGGGGGGACAGGAGCTTGGAGTGACCCAGGTGTGACCCTCAGGTGGGGACAGGAGCCGGGAGGGACCCGGGAGTGACCCTGGAGGGGGGACAGGAGTCAGGAGTGACCCAGGTGTGACCCTCAGGTGTAGACAGGAGCCAGAAGTGACCCACGGGTGGGGACAGGGGCGGGGACAGGAACTGGGAGTGACCCACAGGTGGCCCCGGGGATGTGGGGCTGGAGGGTCAGCAGTGAGGGTCTGGTGTGGTGGGAGGGACATGGGGGGTGTGGGGACACGGGGAGGGGACAGGGGTGACCCCAGGGGACACTGGAAGGGGACAGGAGTGACCCCAGGGGACATGGAATGGTCTCAGGGGACACCGGGAGGGATCAGGGTGACCCCAGGGGACACAGCCCACCCTGCGGACACACGGACAGGGGACACACGTGACAGCAGGGGACGTGGCAGGGTGGTGACCACCAACGTCCCACGGGGGTGGCACAGGGCGGTGACTGTCCCCAGGGTCACCCGAGTGCCACCGCGGTGTCCCCGGGGTGGCCGTACCTGCCGTGTCCAGGTCCAGCTCCTCCAGGTCGGGCTCTCCCTTCCAGCCTTTCCCGGCCTTGCCCGGCTCGGACTCGTTCTCCAGCGGCTCTGGGGGACACGGAGGTGGCACTGCCACATCCCCCACCCCTCCCGGGGGACGGGATTTACCGTGTCCCCAAGGCCAGGCTGGCGGTGTCACCACCCGGGGGGTGGCCGAGGCTGGAGCCCACCCCGCGTCCATGGAAAACGTTCCCGGCCATCCCAAGGACACTGAGGCCACCAAGTGTCACCGAGCCCCAGAGCGGCAGGTGACAGGAATTCGGGGTGTGGAGGCACAGCCGGGGTGTCCCCACAGCTGTCCCCGTGTCCCTGCGGGCTCCGGGCCCGGCTCCTCCCGTGGGATCCGGCAATTCCACAGGGGATGGATGTGGCGAGAAGGTCCCTGGGGACACCTCTGTCACCCACGGGTGACACCACGGCCACCCCACGGCCACCACCCCTCCTCCAGCAGTCACCCCTTGCTGGGGGTCCCACCCTGCCACCTCCTGTCCCCTCCCCAGGGGACAGCGGCGCCCGTGGCCCCCGCGGGGGGCTGGGATTTGTCCCCAGAGCGGGGACATTCCCGGCTGGGTGGCACCGGGACACTGCCCTCGGGTCCGGCTGGGGCTTCTGCGGGGCCAGGAGTGGCGGGGACACGGTCACCGTGTCCCTGTCCCTGTCCCCATCTTTGTCCCTGTCCCTGTCTCTTATCCCTGTCCCTGTCCCATCCCTGTCCCTGTCCCTGTCCCTGTCCCTGTCCCTGTCCCTGTCCCTGTCCCATCCCTGTCCCTGTCCCTGTCCCATCCCTGTCCCTCCAGCTCCATGATCCCGGACAAAATTCCCCGAATCCCATCCCCACCTCCTCCTCGGCAGGTGCCAGCGGTCCCTCCCCGTGCCACCACCCGGTGCCACCACCCGGTGCCACCACCCGGTGCCACCACCCGGTGCCACCACCCCCACCCCTCCCGCCC